AGTCCTGGCCCTCAAGGGTCCCACACACTGTGGGAGTGACAGACACAGAGACCAGTGGCTGTTGTTTGGACCACAGCCGGGACCGAGTGTGGATCAGCATGTACAGTTCAGAGTGTGCACCATTTGTACAGCCATGAATCATAGTGGCCCCAGAGATGTGCAGGGCACAACTATATGCAGAAGCTCCAGATGGAGATACACGTGCTTGGAGAGGAAAAGGCAGGCCCTTGTCTGCCTGGAGAGTCAGGGAGGACTTCTAGGAGGAGGGGACATGATGGAACTTGAACACTGAGTGAGGTCTGCACAGTTGGGGGTGCTCAGGACAGGAAGGGACATTTTAGAGAGTTTCCCAAGTCCAACCTTTTGGAGACCACCTTTACCATTTCTGCAGGAATCCTGTACCTCCTGCACTATTATTTACTTCATATTTATTTTCAAAGCATCTTTCCCTTTTTACTTAAATAAATTCAGTTTAAAAGGGAACTTTTATTACTGCCATAAGTGGAAAATCAGCATCACTGGCCATAAAGAGAGGGTAACTGTAAAAATAAACACTATGAAAACCAAACAGCGTTCGTAAATTCTAGCCAGGGAAGGTTGCTTACTGAAGGCTAAGAAACTCAGTCTCCATTTCCTCTCGTTAACAGGGGAGATTTGGCAAGAGTTAGGTGTTAAATTCAAAGCAGCACCAAACAGAGACTTTCTTCTTGATCAGAAGGGCTTGGGATGCAGGTCCAGCTGACATGTGGACACTGGTGGGCAGCCACCTCCACCACCGTCACCGGCTCTAGCTCCCTTGGCCACTGGCTCTGTCCCACAATTCATCTTGAGTTGGCACCTCCAAGACCTTGCCTTCTCTGGCCCATAGACCTGGAACCCTTCCCTGCCACTCATCTCTACGGGACAGCATCCTGTCTGATTCACTGGAAGATTCCCTGTGTATGGAGGGAGGACTAATGCCCATTTCAGGAATGAAGAGGCCCGAATAGGTGCTCGTGGAATGAATGACCAAAGAAATGAAGGGAGAGTTCCCTTCTGGGCTGTGCTGCTCAAACCAGGGAAGCGACTTTCAGAGGCATTGGTTTTCCTCCCCACAAATGGGGAAAGAACATTATTTTTGTATTAAAACAAACATGAATATATTATGGCACAGAATACAGAATTCATGAATTTTGAATGAAATAGGAGACATCAAAGATAAGTTGCCCTTGGTGGGAAGCTGTTTACTCTCCTGCATGGGGTAAACTCCTCGTCAAGGGCCACCATCCTCATCTCTGCAGCCTCCGGTTCCTCATGCTCTGGGCATCACCGTATTGCTGTGTCAGCAAAAGGGAAAGGGGACAGAGAGGAAAGAGAGGGGCTGGGGGGAGAATGAAGCCCAGGACTTGCAGGTGAGGATGGGAGTTGTGGCTCCACCCAGACTAGCTGTGTAAGTTGCTTCACTTCTCTGGGCTTCGGTTCATTGTTTAAAGGCTTATTTTGAGGATTAAATGAACGAATGCAAGTGAAGAGCCTGTTTCAGTGTTCAGGACAGTCGGGCCTCAACACCGACTCGCTGCTGAGTTTTAGAGACGCACAAGCACATTCACCCAGGTGGGGTCCCTGCCCAGCCCACGCTGACTGCCCACCTAATAACAACTGAAGTAGCTAACATTTTTGAGCACTATGTGCTAAACACCTGGAGATGCTGTACCTCCATCTGTAAAGTGGGGCTAATAACAAAGACCACCTCATCACGCGATGGTGAGGATTAAAGGCATTAACATTTATAAAGTGACTGCCTGACACCAGGTATGTGCTTATAAAGATGTTTCCTTTTTATTTAGTTAGCTGCAATTGAAGTGAAATTCACAACATAAAAACCATTCTAAAGTGTACGAGTCAGTGGCGTTTAGTGCATTCACAGTGTTGTCTAGCCCCACAACATTTTCATCACCCCAAAAGGAAGCTCCGTACTCATTAAGCAGTCACTCCCCGTTCCCCCAGCCCCTGGCAACCACCAATCTCCGTTCTGTCTCTATGGATTTGACTATTCTGGATATTTCACGTAAATGGAATAATAAAATATGTGGTCTTTGGAGACTAGCCTTTATCATTTAGCATGTTTTTGAGGTTCATCTTTATTGTAGAATATATCAGATTTCGTTCCTTTTTATAGAGGTGTTTCTTTAATACAGTATCTCACTGAATCCCCAATACAACCTGGGAGGTAGCTACTACCATCCTCCTCTTCTTATAGATGAGGAAATTAAGGCACAGAGAGGGCGGGGACTTGCCCAGGTCCCCTGCCAGGCAGTGCCTACAGAGCAGGATGGCCAGTGCTGGCACCTGCAGCTGGGGGCAGGGTGCCTCCCAAGGCCATAGCACATATTGAAGGAGACAGCAGTGGAATTACAAATCTAGGGAGATTTAAGGAGAGTGAAAATATTCTGGCATTTGCACGATTGTGGGAGTTGAGCAGGTTTCCCCAGTGGAATTCCCGCCTCCTCTTCCCACACATCTGGGCCACAGGGGATGAAAGGGTTTGGGAGGAAGAAAGGCAAGTGTGGGGATGTGCAGGGAGCCAGGGACAGGGTCAGGGAGCCAGGGGTAGGAGAAGGAACAGGCATCCTGATGTCTGTGCAGGTACCATCTTTTTCGTCCTGCAAAGCCAGTGGGGTGAGCTCATCGCACCGATGGCTAGTGAGGCTCAAAGAGGTTGCATGGGGGCCAGGATTTGAGTTCAAGAGTAATCTCAAGACCCAGGCACATATCTATCCCTGCTGCCTGCCAGAGGCAGAGAGGGGGTGAATGGAGGAAGCACAGGGAGACTGCATCAGCCATAAGGATGAGCAGTTGCCCCAGAATCCCAGAAAGGAGCATCCCCAGATCCACTGAGAGGCGGAAAGAAAAGTGAGAGATGTTGGGAGGCACCAAGGCTGAAGCGAGGGAGGGCCAAGGGCCATGCAGAACAGAGCAGAGAGGAGAGGCAGAGACGAGGGCACCTGAAAGTCATTTGCAGAGACCAACAGGAGGGGAGAAACTGAGGCAGCCCCCAGGGATGCTCCAGAGCAGAGGTTCTGGGGGTGCCCAGCAGGCAAGGCAGAGAGCAGGGTGGCCATGCTGCCCCACCCCCTCCCCACCGGGCTTGGCCTAGGGCAAACCCAGCCCCACTCGGGACCTGGTTCCTGCCCCCACCCTAGCCCCTTCCACTCCCGCCCAGTTGTATTTGGGAAATCCAGGATTGCAGCAGTAAACACATGGGCTCTGGAGTCAGGCTGACCTGGATTTGAACCCCAACTATACTCCATGGTGGACAAATCTCTGAGCCTCAGTTTCCTCATCTGTAAAATGGGCACTGTGGGGACTCAATGGGCTCATACATAGGTGTCAGTGTCTGGCCCATAGTGAGCTCCGCAGAGCACGATGATGCGATGATCAGGCTGCTATTCGCACTGCCTCTCTGAGGGAGGTCTTCCTCCAGCTCCTGCTTCCCCAAGGCTCCCACTTCCATTTTCCTCACCTCGAAGACTAGCCTGGTCTGGCCTTTTCAAACACAAGGACTATTCTAGAACCAAACAAGCCTTAGCTCAAGGGGCTCTGCCCTGCCCCAGGGCCTTTGCATTCACTGCTCCCTCTGCCTGGGAGGGGATTTAACAGAAAGTAGCAGAGCTGGAATGGGGCTGGGGGCACCCAGCATCTAGCTGGAGTTAGGGACCACTGCTGGGGTCTCTGGGGGGCATAAGGAGACCAGCTGATGAATCTCAGGGCCCCTACCTGAGAGGCCCTCCCATCAGCTGTCAGCCAGCCTGCCCTCCCCCTCCGTCTCTGCCTGCCTGAGACCATTAATGTGGCTTTGTTTTGAGCACTATTTTCCACTACCATGTGCTCTGGCCGCCAGGCCTCCATTAGGGACCCTTTCCAGGGGCCGATGACAGGCGGCAAACAGCTCCCCAGCGAGCCAGCCGTAATTGCTGCCGCCTCTGAGGTCGGAAATGATTTTCTTCAACCTCACAAAGCAAAACAGACCCCCTGCCGTCTGCTCTTGCCCTCCCCCTCCTCAGCCTGGAGCCACGCCTGAGGTTTCTGAGAAAGGCGGGGTTTGGCAAGACCCCTCCCAACCCCCCAGAGATCCCTTTAACATGCCAGGCTGAAGGAACACCGAGTTTGGGTTCTGCTCCCTTGCTCTAAACTAGGTGTGGGCCCCCGACCCACGGCACCTCTCTAAGCCCCAGTTTCCTCCTAGGCAAGATGAGCGTGCTGATGGGTGCCTGGCATGCCTGCTGGGGTGATCAGGAGGCTCGGACAGGAAGTCGTGGGCCCCTCTGAGGAGTACATAAAGCAGAGAGAACCAGAAGGCAGGAGAGGGAGAAAGAGAACCTGCCAAGGGGAGAAGATCGCTCAGGAAAAGGTTCTAAGGAGGAAGGAGTTTGTGTGCTCAAACACAAGAAAGGAAGCCAGTGCACTTACACAGACACACACACACACATGTACACACGCACACAGACACCCAGCACCTTCCGAGCCCGTATTTCCATCATTCCCTGGACACTTCGGCCAGCCCCAGCATCCTATAAACCCACACACTCAGCCCCTTCCCAGGAGAACAGCCTCCCCTCCTCCATGAGCCCCTCCAGCCTCCAAGTCCTATTTGAGCCCCTACTTTAAATTGAAGGGCCATCCTCACCCAAATGCCAGCCATGCCCTGTGCCTTCCCCACTCAGACACCTTCCAGGGCTGCTGCTGCCCTGGGGATCAAGCCCAGGTTCCCCCGCCTGTTCTTAGCAGCTCCAGCTGCAGCCTGCTTTTCCAGATACGCACACACGACTCTCCAAATGAAGCCCCTGTCAGACCCAGGCAGTCGGGCAAGGCTCCCTACTGGCCTCCAGAGTTTCCTCTCAGCCCTGGCAGTCCCTGGATACAGGTGAAGAAGGAGCCCACCTCCCCCAGGAAGTCTTCCCTGACTGCACCAGCAACCATTCTCCCTGGGAACACTCAGAGATCTCCCTCTGATGGCTCACCTGCCTGTGCCATTTCCTGGGTTCTCATCTCTGGTTGACTGTTCTCCATATCTCTCCCAGCCGCCACCCTCTGAAGACACTCACCAAGGACTTGCCAGGGAAAGTGAATGAAGCTTCCATCAGAAGCCACCCACGTTGCATGAGAGAACTGCAGGGAGGGGAAGGACTCCAGAGCCTGGCTTTGCTGCACACTGGCCCTGTGTCCTGGGGACAGCCCTGCCTTCCCTCTGCATCTCAGTTACCTCCCCGATGAAATGAAGGCTGCTTCCCCCATGGACCACAGGCAGGCTTTGGGGGCCTCGATAAACTCGCTGCAACAACAAAACCATGTGGCATTTTTCTGAGGAAACAATCCAGTTTTCATCAGATTCTCAAGAGAATTGTGACCCCCACCTCCAAATTAGGAACCATTAGTCTAGACAAGAGCCAGTGTCCCTTGTAGCTTCCCCATGTGGTCATCCATTCCTTTACCTGCTTCATTCATTCAGCTGACATTTCTTTGGTGCCTGCTCTGTCTAGGTGTCATCATGATACCCAGAATATGTGTACATGTAGTCCTGAGATGTCATCTCAAGAGAGGAATGCGTGCGTGTGCACGTGCACGTAGAGAGACAGAGAGAAAGGGAGGACCAAGGTGGGAGAGATGAGAAGAGGGAGGGACACAGATACAGCAGACTCAGGGAAAAGGACAAAGAAAGATGGAGAGAGACTGAAAGACAGAGACAGAGATCGAAAGAGAGAGAGAGAGAGACAAACCCGAGGAGAGAGAGAGAGATCCTGAGGGAGGGGGCAGGCAGAGCAGTTGCCACAGATGGGCACTGCCAGCCCCCCTAACTGATGGCTTTGAGCAAGGGCCCCTCCCGGCTCCAGCTCTAACCTTCCAGATGCTCTCAGAGCCTCTATGCCTCATGTCCCAAGGGCAGCAGCACGGAGGGAGCAGGGGAGGCTGGTGTCCAAGCAAAGGCAGAGGGCGCCAGCCTGGCTCCTTAGGCCGGTCAGATAAAGGACCACCCAGGCGCCTTCTCACCTCGCCCCAGCTCCGCAAACCACACAAGAGCAAACACCCGAACACACTCACTCCGGACTCAGGCTTAGATGAAAACAGCAGCCCCTTGAAAAACACCCAGGCTGCGCCCAGGGCCCATGTGTGCCCCCCAGTCCCACTGCTCCTCGCTGACAGGGCTGGCCTTGGATCCAGGGGTCTAGTCTCTCTGCCCCGTGCTCTTTCAGCCAGACTCAGGCCTTCTCAGCATTTGGCATCACGGACCCTGAGAGAATCTGAGGAATCCAGGGCACCGCTGTGGAACAAAGCACCTGCCCACACACCCAGCCGGCTTGGCAGCCAGGAGAGGACAGATGAGCGGGTTAGGAACCCCAGCTCTGCAGTCCCACAAGCTGGGCTGAGGCCTGGCTTTGCCATCCGACATCTGTGTGTGCTCAGGCAAGTCACGTCACACCCCTCAGCCTCAGTGCCCTCCTCTGTAAAACAGGAGCACCCTCCTCACAGGGCATGCGAGGACTGGCTGCGAGGAGGTGGGGGAAGTGGCAGGCACAAAGAAAGCCCCCAGTGAGCACTGGCTGGTGGCCTGGTTCACAGCCCAGAAGGCCACTGAGAGCTAAGCACAGACACACAGCATGGAATCCCATTCCACCATCAGCTCCATCCTCACCTGTTGATTGGAGGAAAAGGATATTCTTGGGATTATACAGACGGAGGACTTCTAGACACTGAGAGTTTGGGAGAACTTGGCATTGTTCAGGTGTGGAGAGAGGCTCAGAGAGGGGCAGGGACCTGCCAAGCCACCCTGCAGGTGGATGCAGGGGAGAGGGTGAATAAAAACTCATTTCTCCACCCCACCTCTGGTACTTTAACTGGGAACTGAAATGACAAAGGAGTCACTTTCCCAACCCCTCAACACAGGGAGCAGTGAAGGGCTCACCCCTGCCATGTTCCCTGGGTGGAACCAGGCATCCTTGGAGTTGGCAGCTCCTCCCACGTAGGCACTGGTCCCAGTACCACCACTAAACTGCTGTGTGACACATTTTTATTAACCACCCACTGTGTTTTAGCTTCTCTGCCCACTTCATCAGTCTTTGCTTCCCTGGGAAAGAGGGCAGGAATCCCCTCTGTAACATCCCCAGCTTATATCTGGTCAGGTCCAGCTCACATACCTTCTGTGATGGGGAGCTCACTACTGGGTACCATCACTGCTCCAGGAGTGAGTGTTTTTCTCCAGGCTAAACAACATCCCTGCTTCTTAACTCTTATCACAACTATACTCATCTATATTTTATAGGTGCAGTTGTCTGACCAAGAACCTTATCTGTTTTCCTCACTGATACATCTCCAGTGGCTAAGAGTCTGATACACGGTGGGTTCTCAACTGATACTGTTGAATGAATGAAGGAATGAATGATCATGCTTCTAACACCTGGCAGCCATCCTTGTTAGGCCAGCAGTTCCCAGTATGAGGAGTATGGAGTCTGAGATGCGAGTGGGTGGCCTGCAGGCCAGCAGCCCCCAAGTCGGGTCACCCCCACACATGGAAGTGCCTGTGTACCACCCGTACCATGATGTGCATAATGTTTTTCCATAAACTAACCCACTATGTTTTAATATCCCCATTAGTCTCATCCTAAGCAATCATATCTGTGAAATCACAGCTTTGATGTGCTGGTTATATTTTTCCAGTCCACATTAAAATAAATGCATAACTATTAAAATGTAAAAGGTTTGTCTAGGTTCTGCCTAAAATTCTCTCTCAGGTAGGACCCAAGCTTGCTGAGGGCCCTGGGGTTTCTTGAAGGGTTTCAACTGGGGATGGTGGAGCCGAGTCCCAGAGACTCCTCTGCTGGCTTCGAGGAAGGGGAGGGGGCACAGCAGTGGGCGGGGAAACTGGAGGAGCAGCAGCTCCTCTGTGCCCCCATCCCCACCTCCCTTCTCCACAGCAGCAAGTACCAGAGGGATTCCAGGGTCACCAGCTGGTAGAGGGGTGGATTTCTTCCCCCAGTGAGACTGCTGCACCCTTTTCTTTGGTAAGAGTCTCACTAGGGTTTGGGAGAAGAGGACACATCCCAGAACCCCAATGCCCTGAAGGCTGCAGCATCCCATACGCACCCCAACGGGCTGGGCCTGGGTCCACCCATTGCTTACCCACCCTAAGATGTGCTTGTCGTGGTCAATAAGGATGAGGAGGGGCTCCAGTTTTATGATTTTTCTACTAAAAACATGCATTTCTTATGAAAGTTAAATTATATGAATGTTTAAAACTACATTAACTTCAGACTCGCAGACATAGTAAAGAATCTTATGGTTACCAGGGGATAGGGAGTGGGAAGGGATAAATTTGGGAGTTTGAGATTTGCAAATGTTAGCCACTATATATAAAAATAGATTTTTAAAAAAACTACATTAACTTGGAATTAGTGAAAGTTTAAGAATTCAGAACTTAGACCTCTGCCTTATCCTCCTTGCTATCTGTTGCTTCATTCCCTGCCACCTCCCTGGGTTGGACACTGTGGTGGGTACCAGGACACAAGGGAATCTGACCCATCCCTGGCCATTACAAGGAGGGTGGTGAGGGTGCCCGGATACCGGCCCCTGTGTGCCCAGCTGGCCCCCAACTCCCTTCGGGGCTGAGAGATTCTTCCCATAACCCCATCAACAGTTGGTTCAGTCCCTAAAGTCCCAGGTCACAGCCAAGCACCAGGAGGTGTGCTTGCTTCATGCCACCTTTCCCCTCTTCCTGACACCTACTCCTCATGGGGGCACTGATGTCACTGTTCATACCACATACTTCCTCTCCTCACCTGTTTGATTTTCTCAGCCTCCAGCGGAAGCTGGAAAGTCACTGAGGCAGGGTCCTGGTCTGGGGGTCACCACATCTACTGCCGCACAGCCAGGGCGTGGAACGTGGAGGTCACCACGCTCCTCCCACCACAAGTCTCGTGACCTCGGCCTTTTCCCTCCTCCTCTCTGGACACAACAGTGTCATGAGCAAGGGCCCTGGAGCCACATTCCTGGGCTCTGATCTGGGCTCCAACACTTGCTAGATGCGTGACCTTGGGCAAGTCTTATAACCTCAGAGTCCCAGTTTCCTCATAAATACATCCAGCCAGGGAAAGCCCCCTCTTCTTAGGGTTCCTGTGAGATTCAGATGAGACAACGCCATTTAAGACCCTGCCATGACAATAAACATTTGCCTCTGTATATGTTTTTCATTCTTTTTGTACCGAGCTGGGTAAAGTGATCCCAAAAGCCAAGCACTAACCTCTCTGGCAATTCGGGCATGTGCTCCCTGGTGGGTGGCCTTGGTCTTCCCCTCTGTGAGATGGGTAGAAGGGGATGGCCCCGGGGCCTCGCCGGCTTGGCCTGAGCCTCAGAGATTCATTCTAAGCGCTCCATCCATCTCCTGCCCCACCGGCGGGTGGGTCGGAAGGGACCACTCTCCCAGCACCCCGACCCTGCTGGCTTGCTTGTCACAAGGAAACTTCCTGCAACACCCCTGCTGTCACTGTGGCAATGAGCTGAATCCCCCAACCCGCTGGCCGCCTGCGGGCCCCTTGCTTAGGGAAAAGGCCGAGGGAGCTGCTGATAGGCAAAGTGTCAAAAGCAATTGGTATGAAGGACGTAGGGAAAACTGCTTGTGAGGACCAATTCCCCACAGGAGGCCGGGAAACCCTCAGCCCAGGGCAGAGTGTTTACGGGCATAATTGATAGAATAATCACCAACACCCGAGACAACGGCGAACACATTTTTAACATCACAACCTTCAGAAGACAGCACTCAATTTTCTCCATCTCCCAGCCACCAAACTAGCCAGCTTATTGATGGGGCGATACCAGCAGTCTGGTAAGGAACGCAAGAAAGCCAGAGTCATTTTTCAGTGCACCGGCTGTTTGCCAAATGGCCCAGCGGCCCCCTCCCCCAGCGCCCCGCTGCTCCCTCCCGGCAACAAGAAAACCTCAGGACAGTGAATCACTCAATGGACAAAGCACCAGGCCAAGCCAGGATCTTTGTCTGCATTGAGGTGTATTAATAATTGAAGGTGCTGGCCTACGGG